GGAAATATAAATAAGAGTCAGGTGAATGTATAATAAGAGCTTCAAACAATATAATCACAAAGTTTGTTTCAACACAAGAATAAGAATGCAACTAAATGCAATAAAGTTTCGTTTAAAGCAAAAGAAGCCAATACAACAGAAATAAGGCCAAAAGTTCTCTCTTTCACTGTCGCTCTCTCAATGTTTGTGCATTGGCTATTTATGTCTGTGTAATACAGAAAGAAATACCAAACTTATAAAATCACCAGCAATATTGCCGAAAATGTCCATCCACACATATGCTTATGCGGTATGAAGTACTACATACACAGACAGAGAAGATGAAAAAAAAACAAAACTATCGTATGGTTTTTCTTGTAAACAACGACCAAAAGAAACGGTCATTGTAACAGCCACATTGAGGTGTATGTGTATATGCTGCTTACGCGTGTTAGAGTTTCCGCAAATAATTTATGACTTTCGGCATTTCGCTTGTCTTTTTAATAAAACAATCCCTTTTGTTTTCCTCTTAATCTGACAAAGCGCTCCACTATGAAATATTATTGCTCCGCATTTCCTTCGGTCCTGTAAGTTTCTTTTTTGTCAGTTTGTGCTATTTCAAGCACAATACAATCTAATAATGTCTGTATGTATTAAGCATAGCGAACACCACGATGCAATCCCATGATGATCAAATCGGCCCATGAACCATCATAATCTATGAATGTTTCGACGATAAATTGAATGCACGCACAACTTAGGTTTCGGTTCATCGAACAATGTTCACCCGTTGGCGATTCCATCAATCAGCCAAACATACAATTTTTTTTCTTATCTATTTTTGATTATAAATGCATTTTAAATTGTGGCAAAATTTCAGCAGAATCTTCCATTATCTAATTGACGATTCGCAAATGCAAAATACCATCTCGCAAAAAAAAAAACACTTTGCAATAACACTGGATAATACCAAATTTAATGAGTTTTGATTTTTTTCCATCTCATCTTGCTGCACAGAATATAGAGCACGCAAATGGCAATAGAGAAAATGGAAGAAGGAAAAACTACGAAAGAAAAATCATTTGTGCGAAGCTCAAGCTTTTAGGTGAAAGCCTTTACAATCAAAGTGAAAAGTGCAAAACTTTTTATCCAAACGGAACGAAAGAATGAAATAATCCATAGATTCAGAAAGAGTGTGCGAAGCAAAAAAAAGCATTGGCGTAGTGCAGTGGCGTCTGTAGATGTGGTGGCGGCTGTTGTAAGCATTATTTTATCACAAAATGGGAATCATACAGAGCATAACTTGTTGGCATTTCCTATCAATGGTGCACACACACATACAACAGAAGAAAAAGCAAAAAGAAGCAGAAAAAACTTATAAAACATTTTCTAATAAGTTTTCTTCAGTTGGCTTTGTTGTTGTGCAGTAAATAAAAATTTATTACTTTTGAATTTTCCTTAAAGGTTAGCAGAGCATCTTTTGACTTTATGCTCGAAGTTTTTTTAATGCCGTCTCTGTTTCTCATCCACTACTAGCAGTAGTAGTAGTTCTTCTTCTTTTTTCATGTTTTTTTATTCATTTCCGCCGCATCTTTTGTTGATCCTGTTTACTTCATATGAAATTAAATATATTTTCGGCCAGTTTCCGGGTGCATTTGTAACAAACGATATTTCCAACAGTTTGCGGATATTTACAGCAAGTCCATATACATTTTTAAAAGCAGCACACCGGCAAAGTGAAAATGTAGTTTTAGCATCTTGGATGAAAATGGTGTGTATGTCTTATGCGAATAATGTATACGGAACGTATATAAGTGTGTTTGGGCCAAAATGCAGCATCAAATAATGTTGAAAATTTGCCACGGGCGTCTAAAAATGGAAAAGACGATCGTGAATCAATGAATTTCATACATTTGTAAGTGATTCACGCCAATTCACGAACTTATCTCGCTATTCACTACGATTTTTGTTTTATTTTTTATTTTTGATATGATTGGCAAACGAAAACTAAGTCCAGACAAAGAAAAACAAACGTTTCTTTCGTTTTCTTCGGGTGAAATTTCATAACGAGTCTTTGCCACTTGAGCCGACAAATTCATATCAATTTTTAATGATTGAAATCACTAGGGCATCAGAATACAGTGTGAAAAAGATGGTGAGCAAGAAAACGTAACGCCAATACCCATGTGAACATGGCTAATGCAGTAGTTTGCCAATTCAATGAATGTTTTTGCATTCAAAAAGAAAGAGGAACAAAAAAAAGCCAGAATTCATTTCATCGAGAATATTTCAAGTGGAGAAATAGCAAATAGCAAAGATTTCTCAATGTTCAGTGAACGCAATGTTTTGCAGATACCATAAAGCCGTTTTACAATGCATTATGGTTTCTCGTGAACACACACACACATACGTATCTACGCACAAACTGAACTACTTGTTTTGTCGTGAAAATTCCAAGCATTTCAGTGCATTTCGGACAGACCAACGACAATGATATTTCAAATGAAAAATAGAATCACAAGTGAAATAAACCGATAAATTGAATGAGAAAAAATCGCTCGAGTGAACAATTTGCACAACCGACCGTAAAGTACAAGGAGAGAAATGGAACATACCAATAGAGACAGAATGCAAGCGAAAAATAGTGAACACACATCACTTAAGAAACAGCATCCTCACGCTCAATCACATGCATATATGTACACACAAAGACATTTTCACGAAAAGACAAGATGAAAATAATGGAGAACAACAAGTCACACACAAACACACACATACACACTCACAAGCGCACAAAATTTGATACGAATTGCAGTTGCATTTACCGTACACAGTGATCGTTGTCATTCGTTTTGCATTTTATTTGTATGTTCATTTCCACAGAGATCAAACACCACCGCATACATTTGCTGCATGAATTTTTTACAATTGTTGTGAGGCAATGAGCTTCGTATGTGTTTGTGTGCGCGTAATTTTTTCTCGGGTTTTCTATTCTTTCCTCAAACAACCATTTTGCGTTTATTCCGACAAATATTTTCTACACATTTGCAGCAATACCAAGCAAATAAACGAATGCCATTTGGGTACACTTTTCCCGAATAAGACTCGACACACACACACACATGTATATATATTAGCAGACGATGTTCGAGTCTCTTACAGACGGATCAAAATAAGCAGCAAGAATGAGTGTACCAGAGTATGTATTTGTGTAAAGGAATGAGCACAAGTCAAAATTGATGATAGAAAAACTAAAGCAGACACACAAATAGAACCTCTGGTTTGGTTTCAAACTTACTCGAATCAGATGCTGTTGGTATGCCAGGATATGCCAATTCTCCAGTGACATCCAACTAGTTAACATATTTTTCATTTTATCTCTTTCTCTCTCTCTCTCTCCTGTTCTCCTCCTCTGTGTGTCTAGTTTCTTTCATTGCTTCCATGTTTATATTATGAGATGTAAAGCTACCAATTTACGATTACTATATGTTGACAAAATTAAGAAGAAGCGTCTCATCACGGTGGACCAAGGCAATTGCATAAAACCACGTTTATGCCATTTTTTTTTGTAAATTTGAAAAACTCCACTGGAAATCGAAACGAATTTAACTGCAATTTAAGTGCGCGACCAATGGCCAAAATGTGACTCATTGATCTTTTGGGAATTTATATAAGGTTGGGATTTTAAATAATAGAATTATCATGAGTTTTAATTACATTCGACGTTTATTTTATTGCATACTGTCTTTCGTAAACGTCAACAGTATTCGTTGATTTGTGATTATAATTAGCAAATAGAAAAAATCCGATGTCACTTAAAATTCACTGTTAATGTATATCACATAGTAAAGTGACATCCCAATGATAAATAATAAAACTTATCAAACAGTTTTTTCCACAAAATCTTCTTCGGGAAAATGTTCATAGATTTTGTACGAAAAAAATTTCATTCCATTTATAGAACAGCAGATCTAGAAACTGGAATACACCGAGCGAACATGCATAATTGATCAGATAGCCTTCAAGTTGGTGACTGGCGTTTGTGTTGACAATGATTCTATGTTGACTGTTCACCGTTCATTTTTTCCCTTCTCCCTTCTCCAAGATGAATTACACTGCCAATTTTCTTGAAAGTAATGCTTGATGTATCGATGTAAAAACAAGTTATTATTTAAAATCATCAGACTAAATCAACGTTGGAAAAATTAAAAATCAAAAATCATAATGAATATATAGAATCATGTATACCTCTTGGGTTATGGAAGACGATTTTAAAACTTGATAATACATCAAGCAATATTTATCAAAAAAATTGCGGTGAATATGTCAAGCAGCAAGCTCGTTTGGCTACTTGCCCTAAATAGTGAGATTTCATGCAATGACATTGATGGCGATGACTCACTCAAGAATAATTTATTCAAAACTGACCAGAGTGCATTGCATGTAAACTTCGCATGAACTTATTTGTTTTTATCGTTTGTGGTTTTTATTTTTCGTCGTTCGTCTCATTTCAAACAGGTTATCGCCACTCATCCCTGAAAATATTTATAAGTTAAGTTAATCGCTGAGTATTTAGCCAATAACAAAAGGAAACAAACGGGTCTTAGTGACGGTCAAAATGAGGACATGGAAATCTTATTAAAATGTCATTTATTTTTATTTGAGAATAAAAGTTCAGCATATTTACGTCGTATTGGAACCATTTATTTTTAGTTCATAAAACGAAACAGCCAAGGAAATATTATGTTGATTTGTGATGTGTTGTGCAAAGTTTATAGAAGTTGTCAACGAATCTTTCTTTGTTTGAGCGATTGCTTGAAAAAAAGCGATTTGCTAATGAATATAGCCATTTGTGATTCAATAAATCACCTCAACTTTTTTCGATCATTCTAAATATAGTATTGATTTTTCTCGCAAATGAATATTTTATCCAAGTTTTTTTTTGCCTTTTGATTTTTTTCATGTTAAGTTCAATTTATAAAACAAGTTTTCTTAATCGAATAATTTTTGTTTATTTTCAGAGTGCACATAATACTCAACCATTGGGATTCAACTGTAAAGCGAACACACGCACACAAACTCAATAGATCCGTGGATTAAAATTATTGTCAAGTGTGTTTGACATCGTAGTGAGAGACATTACAAAATAGAGCACTGAACATAAAAAACGATTCAAAATGTTATTGTTAAATACATTAAAAATAGTGCTAATTGCATTAAACATTTTACCATATCGAATAACCCACAGAAAAGTGTTATTTTTAGCTTATTTGATCACATTAGTCTCACAAGGTAAGTAAAATGCTTGATTTTATCACTCTCGACACATAAAATAAATGCTAGAATAACAGAAAAAAAAACACCAAAACCGAACCAATGTTTAAAATGTGCCATTTGAAGGTTTTGTGTGTACATATTTTTAAGATGCTGTTTACAATGCAAATAATCGTATATCGGGTTGTTAAAAAGTCATTAACATCCTCATGAAATGAACAACAAAAAAGCACGAGAAGATAAATGTGTTTGACTCGCGCCATATTACAATATCATAAAAATCCCAAGAGGAATTATTGATAATGCAACCAGATAGATTGTTTAATGCTGATGGTGCTACTGTTACAGCATGCAGTTTTAATCTGACATCATTAACGCTTCGCAATATAATGTTTGTCGCATGAATATTTGAAAGCCGTACAGGAAAAAAAGCATTCAATATTTAGTTACAGAGTAACTAAATACCGCGTGAATATATGAAAAGTGTATGAGAGATAGAGAGAGTTTGCGTAAATCAAAATTGAATACATATGATTTAGATATACAAATATAAATTTTGGCGGATCATGCATTTTTAATGCAAAAAAAAACATATATGCGAAATATGATAATAATCCTGGCCATTGGCGAATTTTGGATTTCGTTCTGATTACGTCGTTGTGAATGAAAACCCGGCACTGCTGTGCAAGATGTGATAAATTCACATTGTATACACATAAATTGTGTTAAATCTAATAAAATGCGAATGAAACTAACGAGAAGAATGGCGTTTTTTTTGCATGAAATATTTAATGGGGTTTTTAGTTTATTGATCTAATGAAAGTACGACTGTTTGCCATTGACATATGTACAAAACATGATTTCGAGTGTTTGTTGACAAACATTTATCAATTAAATGCAATTGCTATTAAACGAACGCAAAATTTAACATATACGTAGATGTACGACATGTATACATTTTACCACTCAATTACATGTTTGATTGATTTGCTTTAGATGGCCCTTGATCAATGTCTAAACATAACACACTTACCGGGGCCACACCTGTGCAATGTGGATATTTCCTTGTTTCTCTAATGACAAGAGCACTTACTTTGTAAACAAACTAGACGCACTATCGCACGTTAAAACCACCCGCTGACGTCTGCTCGCGCACGCCAACTTTATTCTAACTTCCGCTTTTTCTTCTCTTCCAACAACCTTCACCCCTCCCTTTCCCACCCTTTTTCGTTTGGCCATCGGTTCGTTGAGTGTACGCATAACATATGTGCACACTACATTATCGAATGTCATTTTCACTATATTTCTGTACACATAGTGCTATGAGTTCCATTTTCTATATTGTTGACATAAAACATTCATGCCATTGACATGATGGCACCATTTCAACTCAATCTATATAAAATGAACGTAAATTTACTCTGGTCCGTGTAAGAAATTCTCTTAAACAGCATTTAAAAATAAAATAAAAAATAATAAAAATAAAAACAAATATGAAAAAATAAAAAGTTCCCACAGAAATAGCTTTAAATGCATATATCAAATTTCAGTATATCGCATGACAAACGCGTTCTGCTCCATTTTCCATCAAATAGTAAACAATTTTTTTTCGATTTTGTATTTTTAAATATGGTTTGAAAATTTTATGACACATAGAATCAGAGCATATACTGAGCATAGATATATATCCGGGATATTTTGTGAGTATCCGATATTTATCGCAGCCAGACATTATAATGGAGTGAGAACAATAGAAGTGATTGTTATAGGTCTAAGTATAAAACCATTTACATTACTACAATCACTATAACAATAACTTCTATTGTTTTTACTCTATTTCAAAGTCTGGCTCCAATGAATATCGGATACTGACAAAATATCCAGGATATATATCTATGCTTAGTATATTCTCTGCATAGAATTGCAGTTACTCTAAAGCGAATGAATGAGTGAGTGAGGTCTGACGTTTGATGTAGAGTAGAACGAGTGTACGCTATTGAAATGACGAATAGTAAAAGTGAAACTCGAAATATAACATCGGAAGTCAATAAATAAGTAATGAGCATACATGTTTAGACTAATGGCAAAACAAAAGTGACATCCAATGACGATGACATCAACCATTTTTAATGTATATTAACCGAATTGCTATGCTTTTCGATCGCATGTTTTAAGCGGTTTTCGTTTGCCACACATAAATTCCATATACAATTCAAAGCGAGTAAAAAGACTATCGATTGGCTGTAATAATACCATAGTTGTAAAATATTCCTTTACTGTACCAGTCAAAGGTTAAGGTTATTTTTGGAAGATTAAAACTAAATTCTTTTATAATTTCGATACAGCTCAAGTGTTAAACTCTTGCAGTCAATCGTCAATCCAATTGTCGTCTGTGTGTACGAAAGCATAACAGTAAAATTTCAAACGTAGGCATTTAATATGCGACGATACAATTTGAATTAATTTCTAATGCAGTGTTTAGCATGTAACAACATTGATGGTTGTGTGTCGCTTTTACTCACACTATAAACTCTTCTCGAGAATGTGAAATTTTTTGTTTGTATACGTACATATCCCTGGCCATATACGCACTCAAGAGATAGATTGGAAGAGAGAAAGAGAGAGACGCATAAGAAAAGCATCATACATTATGTATGATATCCATCCGTCCATAAGGTGAACTTTTGCCTTTGCACTTTTATATATTTTGCATTTTGATGTTAGCACGAAATGTGGATTAGCGACTTTTCTTTTTATTGTGTGTGTGTGTTTTGTTCTTTTTTTCACTTTTTATTCTGATTATTTTCGCTCCAATGATGGCACATGAATTCGACGCGTCGGTTTATATTATGACCAAAAACAATGAACAAAAATGAAAAAGCATCCAAATGACATGAAAAAAAGAAGCGTCAAAATCCGATGGGAAATGATTTCTAGAAAAAAGAACAAAAAACGAAATAAAAAGATTTCAACTTAAATAAAAGTAGAAAAACCGCTCTCGCCTTTTTTAAATACACAACGAACCATTGTCGTGTGCCCTTTGAATCGAAATAAAATCGGTACTCTCAGATCATTTATACTTACATTCACATACACTGAATAAGTCTCATACATGCATAATTTTTCTTTTGTTTTGGTTTTGATATGAAGGCACACATATTGAATGTGGCAATGGAAAAACCAAGAATCCGAAAATGTGATGATATGCGTTCCCACAACGCATTCTGATCATGAGCCGGAATCGAAACGGCTGCCATCACCACCATCATCATCGCCACCACCACCATCACCATTCTGTAAATGCGACGTCGAAGAAGTTTCGTCAACATTCCCATGAATAATTTTGCCTAATGTAATTTCGGCAAACAATTCGAAGACAACGCACATTCAAATGGATTGGATTTTACATATTATTGCTCTACCACTTTTTTTTTTCTTTCAGTTCGCTCTTCAACTCTTGCTATCGCACTCTCTGTCTCATGATATGTCGAACGGCGATAAATGGCGTGTATGCGATGTGAGTTTGGTGTTGGCCCGTGTGCATTTGAAGGCAAATTTACTGCGAAAATATTAAAGAAACGTGAGCGCCATGAATCAGAAATGCGCATAGGCGCGTGTGTAAAAAAAGAGGGTAAAGTTGTCGTAAAATCGAATTTTATGCGGGCAAAAGATCTTTGTATATATTTGAATTCGCGCAAAATTTGCAGTGTCATTGAAAAATTTGCGATCCGAGTGTGAAATTCAATGCGAGCAGTCGTTTTTTGGTTCATTCTTAAAATGAATCATGGCCTTTTGAAAGTGTTCAATGAGCAAAAGTTGCATGCATGAATGAGCTTATAATTGCATTAAAAATCATACAAAAAAAAAACATTTTCACCATAATCTTATTCACTCTTTTCCCCATCCTCAAATAAAAAAATACGTAATGAATTTGCTATTTGTCGACCATTTCACACTTATTAACATGAACTCACTTTTGTTTTTTGTTTCCTAATACTTGTAACCGAAGAAAAAGCGCGCACTTTGTTCAAATGTTCTGGGGTTTTTTTCTTTGTGCTGTTTGTCAAACACTAAGAGTTTCAATGCTAAAAACCGAAAGTGGAACTTTCTTTTTCGTTTCTTTTTTCACAGAGATACTGTCGCTTTTATTTAGTGGGAGGGAAAAAAATTGTCACAACAATAACAGCCGTAAAAAAAATCTCTAGGGTGTGCGGAAGTGTGCTTCCTTTATTTATTTTTGTGATTGTACAAGATTTCGTCTAACTTTTTTTTTCTCGTTTATTTTTCGTTTTGTGGGTTTTCTTTGCAAAGAACAAAAAGCAGCACATACACAGACACTTTATTGTTTGTTTACTTGATTCGTTTTCATTTTCTTCTATTGCTATCATCTTCATCATCATTACATTTAATATCGTTCGCTTCGTGGAAACAATAATATCGACAACTGTGAAATATTAAATTTCTTCTGGCCAATTTGGAATTTAAACAGCAACACAAAAGACCAATAAGAAAAAGACAAAAAATGAGCAAAACAACTAAATGGACGCCGACATTACAATAAGAATGGTAATTTAACGATACGAAATTGAAATCCCTTTTCTTTCCCTCTTCAATTTTAATTCGATGTGTCATGAATGATGGGTGAAAAGATTTTTTTTTTTTAAGATGACAAAAAGGAACGAACCATAAAACTTCTCTCAAAAAAATGGTCGCAACTTTTTTTTTGTCCATCTTTTTTTCATTCATCTTATCTGGATCTACTTACATTTATTCATATCCGTTGGTTGGCAGCCGACATTTGTTTAACTAGAGTAGTTTTTTATTCGAGTTCTTTTAGCTCCGTTTCCTTTCTGCCGGATATTCCTTCAAAGTTCATGGTTTTGGAGGTGTCAGCGAAAATTAATGAAATTTATGATAGCAATTGTTTAGAATGTTTTCTTTAGCGCTAACCGACGAGATTGCAATCAAACATCTTATCCTCAAATAATTAAATATTTTATACAGGGATTATTTCCCCC